AATAGATCATGCGGTAGACTCTCCAAACGATTTTGCTTAGGCACCATATGGATCTCTCTATGCTTTGTATCATTCTCTTTCGTCCACAAAAACCAAAAGATCAGTAGAGAGATATGATGGAAATGTGACCACTCCGTACGTTCTGTCCAGAATATTGCCATTTATGAAATCTCTAACGCTCTTTCCTAATGTCATAGAAAATTGCCCCAGCAGAATAAGTAAGAACCAAAAAATTAGAAAATTCTATTTAAATTAATGCATATCTTGAGTACCCTAGATGACGAAAATCCAGTAGCTGGAAAGTATAATTACTTTATGCTTTGTCCCATCAAAATGGTGCCATACTTGAATTGAAATGTTGCTACCTGTGAAAAGGTGAGTGATAGTCTCAATCTCAGAACAACACTAGCATCGAGAGGCCAAGTGACATCCAATCCGCCTTTGTAGAACATCAACATGAATCAGATCCTTTCAAAGTCTCCAGCAAAAAAATGAGATGATGGAAGGAAAAATGGAACACCAAAGTAAATGATACGAATCATGAGGCTATCGAGCTATAGGACCAACCGCCAATCAGACTTGGTAGAAAAGCTACCATATGATGTATCTCTCCAAACAATGCAATCAGGGACATCCGTACAAATAGTTCTGATCTACTGTGCCATAAGTGGTGGAAGAATTTAATGTCCCATCTAGTGCTATAAAAGTAATCATGCACCTTCTCAGATGTGTACTGCTTGTGTGGAAATGATGACATCAATGTAGTATTGTCCATCCAACAATCATGTTAGAAGAATATATGGTCTGCTTCAAGGTACCATACAATGTGTGGCTCCACTAGTGACCCAACTAAATCCAGCCTCTTCCATGTAGAGAGGCTGAATGGGAAATTGTTGTAAATAGCGGATGTGTCCCCAAACAATATTCGCCTAGTAAAAATTGATTCCAAATAGATCTCTAAGATCGAAATAACTACTAAAGCTTTATGGAGAAAGAGTCCACCAAGTTCTATAATCTCTTGAAGCCTAGTCCACCCTCATTAGTTGAAAGACAAATATTCTTCCAACTTCTCCAATGTAATCGCTATGCCTCATCCTTAGAATCTGTTAGGAATCGTGTAAAGATGCTCTCCAATTTCTTTAGTATAGCCTTGGAAGACTGTATATTTGAAGAAGATAAAGTGGTATAGAGGAAAGTACAGATCTCAACAAAGTAATACATCCTTCATATAAAAGTAATCGAGAAGCCCAACCTAAGATCCTGCTCCCAATCTTTTGAGTAAGGTCATCTTAGAGAAATCTCATCTTGGCCCCTTTTAAGATATGAACCCTCAAATAAGTGAATGGTTGTTGCTGTGCTTAAGCCCAATCAATAACACCAGTCTCTTAAAATATTTGATGCATGTCTAGATAGTATAAGACTACTCTTGTCTTTATTCATCGACTGGCCAGAGGCCCTTCATAATGTTCCAAATAGTTGATGGCCGTCATAATAGACTGTTTCTAGCGAGTGATAGTTGGGAAATATGATTATATGATAACGAATGATAGGTGTGAAACAAAAATACTACCCCATGCAATAATGCAACTAAGATATGCCTGAAACCTTTGAGCAAGTAGGCGAGAAAGGTGTGAGCAACGATAATGAATAAAGACGGTGATTTGGAATTACATTGTTTGAGACCAGGTGAGAAAGGGAAAAAACCACAGGGATATAACCATTTAGGAGCACTGAGAACTGATACTCTGAGATGCACCGTCTGATCTTGTTTATCCACAACTAATCAAATCCAAACACCTCAAGTATAGAATATATGAATCCCCAATTCATACGATCGTATGCCTTAGCCATGTCAAGTTTCAGCATAGTATTCCCCTTTCACACTCTATCTTCCAAAGTGTAGAGGAGTTCCCAAGCTAACAACACATTATCCCCACTAAGGCGATCGAGATAAAACCACTCTACTGAGGATAAATAATTCGTGACAATAGTGAACTCAGTCCGATATTCAAAAGCCCGGTAATAAGCTTATTGAATACCGTACTTAGGCTAATAGGTTTGAAATCTGTCCATCCGCTGGCATTTTTCTACTTCGAGAGTAAGACGATAGAAGTAGCTGTAAAACCACAAAGCAGATGACCACCCTCAAAGAAACTAATGATAGCTATGTAGACATCATTTTGTATAATATCCCAACAATGCTGATAAAATAAGAATGAGAATCCATCAAGACCTTGGTGAAAAGAACGGTGAATTTTCATATTATCTACCGCCGTTAGTAGCTTAGAATGACATTTAGGTCGATGGGATCTAGAGATTTTGAAGGAATGGATAAGAGATCTTGGTGAAAAGAGATAGCTGAAGTCTAAATGTTAGCTGGAGTGTAACTTCCCCTACCCAAGTCTTGATAGTCCTGATACGAGATCTGGTCCGACGTCCCTAAACCATAGCATAGAAATATCGGATCTTGTGATCCCCCTTCATACACCCAGTACGAACCCACCTTTTGCTTCCAAAAGCTCTCTTTAATGGATAAGGCCTGGTTCAGATCAGTCTATGCATGATGCAATAGATCACGATGCTCTGGTGTAGGGTCTCTGTTATATTAAATCTTTGCATGGCCAACCCCGCTCACAGCATCCCCTCACCCACTGGATTATATCATTGAATATACGAATGATTCTACCAATGAAGTTCCTATTTCGACTTGAAGAACTTCTTCTCTAGAGTAGTCATCCCCATAAGATGAGTAGGAAATGACCACTTCTAAAAGACGAATGCTAAGAAATCATGGTGCTTGGTCTAAACATTGAGGAAACATAATGGTTTAGGATCTAAATCGTCATCAGAAGTCCACTATAGAAGCAAAGATGAGTGATCAGAAGAAGTTCGAAGAGTAAGTTACGGTCATAATAGTAATGGAAAATGATCTACCAAGGACTCTTATGAAACTTCAAGCATATATTCCTCCACTTCTATTCCCCCATAAACTTTAAAAGAAATTAAGGTAGTAAATATAACTACAAGGAGTAGGGTAAAACTACCACAGATTACAGTGAGAATACCAGAAAGAAAGTACGAGCCCGAAGAGATTGGTGAAGCCAAAATGGAAGAAAAATCTGTACTAGCCTCAATTGAGAAGGAAGAAAGTAAAGAAATACCACGGTTAAAGCATGAAGTCCAATTAAGGCTTACGTACCTCTAGTGGTGTCAACAAGTTGTGCCGAACCGACTAGCGAGCTAAAACTCAAGGTTCGGGTTCAACTCGAGTAAAATAGTCCGAGCTTTTTTGCGAACTCGAGCTAGGCAGGCTCTTTTTTTATATATAGGGATGCTGCCTAAAAAAAGACAGCACTCGACTGCCTTAAATAAGGTAGCAAAATAGGTAGCAACGTGCTACCTTATAAAGGCAGTGTGTCGTTGCCTTTAAACTATTTTTTCAATAGGCCCGTGAACTCGAGCAGGTGAGTCACACGGGCCGACTCGGTACCCCAAAATGTGGCTCTGCCCTAGCCTTGAGCCGGGTTGGCTCAAGTTTTTTCTAGGCTGAGCCATGGGTGGCCCGAGGCGGCAAGCTCGATTGCCATCCGTACGTGCCTTTCATGCCTTTTCCTTTGAGGCTTCAGAAGAACAAGCAAAATAAGAAATTTGAAAAATGTCTAGATATTCTTAAGCTCCATATTAATATCCCCGTTCATTGACACGATATTACAAATTTCAAGTTACTCAAAGTTTTTGAAAGATATTCTAACAAATAAAAGAAAGCTTTCGGAGTTTCAAATTATGACACTAAGGAGTTTCAAATTATGACACTAAGAAGAGAAAGTAGAGTAAGACTACAAAATAAATTTCATCCCAAGTTGAAAATAAACCATTAGCGATACATGGCAATCAATATATTTAGGCGTTGGATGATTCGATGATGTGAGCTACATTAGTATTCAGACATCGAGGGTTCATAGAGTGTAAAAAATGAGAGGAGTAACCTTACTTTGAGTGTTTAAATTTGCATTACCTTCAAATGATACCAAGTGCGATCTTGCATAGCAGAAGGGAAAAAATGATATTTGATAATCGTTGGATAAAGAGATACGTGATCTCATTTTAACAGCTAAGATGCCTTTTCATAGACGTCATTCATCAATTCTACAGTCAGGCACATTTAATGTTTCTGACCATTAGTCACCATATGAAGTTGGCTTGGTAGAGGGATTGCTACATATTAACCACATCAATCACTCATAGAAAATTTGTGTACAAAAGATCTTATAGGGATATTTCCTCATTTGCTTAGAGGCTATTAGCCTCGAATAGGTGTTGTAGTACTTCACATTGCCTCGCTTTGTCCATGACGATTCTGCATCTCCACGAAAGTCGGCAACTTCATCACCTCGACTAGAAAGAGGTCTCAACTAGGCCAAGTAAGATGGTGATGTGGAATAGAGCTTGGATTTGTTTTTGACTTGGCTGTCATGTGGCCATTCCTTGAAGCCTTTCCGGATGAGGCGTAACAAATTCTAACTCAAAGGCAATTGTCTCCTTTTTTCCATTTGACTGTCTATTCTCAGTTATCATTGCTAATGACAACTATTTGGAAATTTGTTTGAGCCCCATTATTTCTATCAAAATATGTTTTTCAGTAGTGATTTGACCTCATTTCAACCACATTCTTTATTAAAATAACATTATACATAAATCCAAAATATTTGTTTATTTTTTAGCTACACATTTCCCATAAATATATTATTCAAAAATGCATTTTTTTTTGGCAAAAATGGGGTTCAAAGAAGTCGTAGAATACTTGATGGACATAAAAAGGCGGAATTTGATGTATTACAACTTCATGTTAACAATTTAGAACAATATAAAGAAAGAACGTGACAAAAAATTGTATTACAACTTCATTGAATTCCATTCACAATGGATACAGAACCTATCGTGTAACTCACATAATTCTTTTTCTTTAAAATTCAAAAATAGATTGCTACTGATAACATACATTATTTACAATTTATTTTTATTTTTATTTATTTATTTTTAAAAGTAATATTAGACCATACTGACCATTGGAATGAATACAATATTTTTCTTTCTTCCCTAATATTGTCCAGCACTATCAATCAACCTTATCAAACATCTCAATACCGTGCCTGAATCCTCTCAAACTTGAGAAGACCCAATCACTCATAGAATCAAGATCCAATTAGCCCTTTGCGCCGAGCATAAAACACAACAATAAGAAAAAGGATTGCACAGCAGGCCCCTGTGACCATGACCACCTGGAAGCAATTTAATGGATCATTCAAGTGTGCAATATAAAAAAAAATAAATAATAAGAATTATATAAGAAAATAATAATAATAATAAACATATTGCATGTCAATGCTTACCCATTTAAACATGAATCCGTGATCGTCGTTCCAGGTATAAGGAATGTTCATACCAAATATGCCAGCCACCAAAGAATAAATCGACATAGATACAGTTCCGGAGCTGAGAACAAGCTCCAACTGCAGCCAAGAAGAGATTTACATGTTCCATTCATTGTCTTATCACGACCTTCCTCCAGCCAAAGATTCTTATTTTGTAGTAAAATGCATGTAACTGACCTGAATGAGCTGATTCCGATGATTGTCAAGCTGAAAGCGACCACATAAAATGGTTTTAGATCACCATGCATTCATAAAAACTATATATGAATAATCAAAGACTTTCTTACAATTCTTTTACCTGAATATTGATATAATCTTCTGTATTATCAATATATTCACGTAGCTGCAACTTTGAAAGTAGAGAAACAGTCAAAAACTTAAATGATGAGGGTATATGGAGAAAGAAAAATTAATAAGATAAAATTATACCCCAAAACATCCACAGAAACCCACTAAATAACTATAAAATGGAAAAAGAAACATATTCATTTAAATAAGAGCAGTAAGTTACGTGCTTTTCCACTAAATGAATAGAAATGTCCATCAATAAAATCAGTATATCTACTGCTAGAACTGTAAAAGTAAAAAAAAAGAAACGACCCTGTCGTACCCTATCATATTACTACTCATACAAAACATGAAGAATCTTTCCACACATAAATGACAGTTTTGGAGTTTGTTTGATCAGCGTAGAAGCGCGTTTGAACAAAATAATGAATGATGCTTAAATTTTGATGGAGAGACATCAAAACTTTCAAGAATGTAGTTCACATACCGTGGTTAATTTGTTCAGTGTGCCATCAATTTGCATGAAGTACGCCTGCAATATGACAGAACCTTTTCAAAAGGTAGTTTTATAGAAAACTAGAACTAAAAACTAGTAAGTTCTGATCGAGTACCTCAAGTAACATTTCTAGATCCTCTACATCATTATCATCTCCACGCATGCTTGCCATACTTGCCCTACTGGCTCTAGATATCTTTGAGCCAATGGTAGGAGATGCTAGGAACCAACTGGCAGCACCCGAGCCACTTACAGGTGATGATGTACCAGCCAACTTTCTAGACAAGTACAGGTCTGCCATATCATCATCGTCATCCAATAGTTGTTCTAGCTCATCCCTCACCTGCATTAGATCAATAGAATAAAACCAGAATTAATAAATGTCTTTCAAATGCAGCGCAATTTAAAGTTCAATAATGAAGCAAGATATGATTCCTTGAAACTACGTCATGTCAAATTAGCAATGTCTTAAAAAAATAAAAAAAATAAAAAAAATGGCGAACTTTAAAATTACAGTAAAATGATACTACTAATGCATGCATTAAAATCTTCTCTGCAAGAGTAAATAACCTAAAAATCTTTGGACGTGAGAAATAATATAAATCCTAAGACATAAAAAGAGTTTAATCATTGAATACTTTAATATAGATATCATGCACATATATATAACTTTTACTGGAAGCAGAAATAAGAAACTAAGTCTCGTTCCGGCTAAATTTAGGGCTGGCTATATAAATCCTTATTCACAACTCCATTCAGTTATCATTGGAAGACCAATGTGAAATTGTTTAACAAAAGATAGTTTAGAGCATATATGGTGAGAAGAGGTGTATTTTAGGAAGAGTAAATTTAACCAATAATCACTGAACTTTACACTTGATTACTACTTGCTCACTCATCTTTCACAGACTACTGAATGCTCACTCATCTTTTCATATAATTACTCATTCACCACTCGTCTCTTCAAATAATTGAGCGACTTTTACGGCAAATTTTCGACAACTTCCGACCACAAAGAATGTCGAATTTTGATACCGTTGGAAAGCTCACGATATCCTCTTCAATTACCACCCAAAATCTCATTATAACTCCAAGGGATTCGATCGAAAAATTGCTTTAAAAGTTGCCCAAAAATTTTGAAAATCCTCATGCACATATATATAACTTTTACTGGAAGCAGAAATAAGAAACTAAGTCTCGTTCCGGCTAAATTTAGGGCTGGCTATATAAATCCTTATTCACAACTCCATTCAGTTATCATTGGAAGACCAATGTGAAATTGTTTAACAAAAGATAGTTTAGAGCATATATGGTGAGAAGAGGTGTATTTTAGGAAAGTGGATACTAATATATCCATAAAATGAAATGGAAATATTTATTTTGGGATGGAGTGAAGTGTTATCAATAAGTTTTAGGAGTGACAAAAAAACTTCACTGAGAAAAAAGTCGCAATAAACCAAGTGCCATTATCCACCAGTACAAGGTTTAGTAAATAATGAAACTTCCCTTAAATTTTCGGCACTTCTTTTGCTTATTTGCCATGACTTAATAACTCAAATGAATTCTATAACCATCATTCTCAACTCTCAGTGCTTCACATTTTTCTCTGTCTATCTCGTGTACAAGTCAAGGATCAGCAGTTGCTAAAAGGGACGTAACATTGTTGCTCAAAACCATCAAGGATAAAGAGGAGGCAGCCTTGCCATGGCATAGTACTGCAGTTAGCAGACAGGAGAAAGAAAGGGAATAAAGTTCGAGTAGTTACACTTGTAGAAATAAGTAGTATGTGGAGCTTTTATTGGTGTGTTGGGGGGGGGGGGGGGGGGCAGA